CTCTGGCTGGCAAGTTGAATGCTATGGACATGCTCAGAAGCAAATGACTCAGGACCTTTCACTTGCTGATAAGATGTCATGGGAGAGGTCACTGGTCTGCTCACTCCAGTTTGTGCATGCTTCTGCTTTTGTAAGTTCACAAATGAAAAATCTAAGCATATTGGTCTGATGTCAAAGTTCAGGACTCTTTGGGGTCACTAACTTAGTAGCTTTAGCCTGCAGATATGAGAACTAGAGAGAGGCTTCAGAGACATCACTTTCTCATTGCCTCTGGCTAGCTGCAGAAGATCCTGGCCACCAAGTGTTTAGAACTGATATATCCAAATGTCAAATATTTGAAGATGTATGTGAAAGACCCATGACCCAGCATTGAAGCTGTACCTGATCTTCAAAATAAAATTGTTGGCAGAGGAAAAAAGTCAATCCAGTATAAAACTGACGCAAGTGAACAGCCAGGTTTTGTCTGTGTTTATCTTTTGCCCCACACTTTCCAAGCATAGGTCCGTGTCTGAGTAGAGTTTTTGTTTTTTTGTCCAGAGCTTTCTTGGGTCATTCCACACCACATCACCTGATTTTAATACTCGACTGTCCTCTCACAACTCAGATTTTCTTCATTTTTTAAAAAATGTGTAGATACCTATGAGATAACCTCAAGATTTAAGATTTTTTTTGGTTCAAAATTGGGCGCAGGAGAATTTTTTGAAAATTTTTATTTTCACACATAATTTTTTGGGGGGAAGAAAATCTGAGTCGTGAGAGCATTGGCACCAGGTGATTTGATGTGGAATGACCCTCTTTAAAGCTGCATTGGAGCGCAGTTAATGGCTTCTTCTAATATTCCAAGTGACTCACATTCATCTGGGCCATCTCATAATTAATGCTTGAAAGACAGTTTCCAACTAAGCCTTGTGTTGCACATTGGGCTATTCCCGAAGACTGCTTGGAAGTTGCTGCAGTAGCAGAATCCAATGGCCTGGCTTCCTTCATGAATAGGTTGCATACCTGCCAACGTGGCATAAACCCAAGGTGCTGGTGATCTCTCTTTTTAAAATAGCTTTATATAAACTGGTTGCATCAAACATTCAGCATCACCTTCTCTCATATGAACTACCCTGTTGATCAGCTGGACTTAACTTTTCTGAGAAGACATGTATCAGATTGCCATGCTGGAAATTTAGTGTAGATTTTTTTGGCAGGCTTTCTAGACTTTTACTGGAAATTCGGGCATCCTTTCTCTGATGTGGTTTAGTATGTGTTAGGACTGGTCTTTCCATCTTTTCTTAGCTAAGTCTACTATATACTAGAAAATGATAATCTTGAGTGCATTGGGCTTGTGTCAGTGAACCCTCTAGTTCTGATTCAGTAAGCTGGTGCAATAGCTCACAACGTTCAAACTCAGTAATTTGCCGGACAGTTCCTGTTAAGGAAAACCGTCATTTCAGCAGGGGTTAAAACTTCACACAGATGGTTGAGGACTGGGAAGAGCCTGAACCATGGGGGTTTTATGCTGTAAAACCTGGCATCTTTAAAGGGCTACCAAGGACCAAGAAGCAGTTCAGGGGTGGCAAGGCTGATTTTCACAGACTGAATTCAGCGAGGCCATTATTTTGCTGCAGGCTTCCAGTAAATAAAAGTGCACCCCAGGGCGTACAGGTTTTGCAGGAAGGCACTAATCCCCTCCTGGGTCTCAGTGCCTGCTTCAACTGCTCTTGACAGTTTCAAACCACTCGACCAACTTGGTAGTACAGCTGTATGCAAATTTTCAAGTGACACAGGACTTTCATCCTTTGGGGTTTTGTGTGTGACTCAAAAGCTTGCCTAGTCCTAAATCAACAAAAGTTTATCTGTGTAGGAGTCACAAGAAGGTCTTAGTGAAGCAGAATGAAAAATATCTGCCATACTGAGACCTTTCTCCACTCTAAATCTTGCAGAATGCTATAAGTACTGATCCATTAAAATGTCACTTAACTGATAATGTTTTCTGCCTGATATAGAGCCCTGTATAATTCAAATGCTTACAAATTCCTGTACCTATGTATTCATGTACTAAAGATGAGTAAAAATGAAATTGCATTATATGTATATTTCAAAAGACCAATTTTAGATGGGACAAGAGTGCACTAGTTTTCCAGTTGTATGCAATCTCTCAGTCGCTGTGCAGGGAGTGTTGGGCAGGAACGTACAATATATGAAAGGTATCATTTTTTGCTGTAACTTTTATGTGGGACTGTGTAGGTTTGTTTCCAACTTTGCCATTTATTATTTGTCCCACAGAATAAAAAGCTCTGTTGTCTAAACCACGGAGCCTCTTGAGCTTGCTTGATCAGAAGGTCAGGTGGTTCGAGTCCGCTCAACAGGGTGAGCTCCCATTGCTCTGTCCAAGCTTCTGCCAACCTAGCAGTTTGAAAGCACACCAATGCAAGTAGATAAATAGGGGATATAAATGGCATTTCCGTGCACTCTGGCTTTGTCATGGTGTTCTGTTGCTCCAGAAGCGGTTTAGTCCTGCTGGCCACATGACCCGGAAAGCTGTCTGTGGACAAATGCCAGCTCTCTTGGCCTGAAGCGAGATGAGCGCCGCACCCCATAGTTGACTTTGACTGGACTTAACCATCCAGGGGTCCTTTACCTTTACCCACAGAATAAAAAACTTGCTCGTAGTTCAAATCTTAGAAGCTTCCATATGTCAAACAAGATTCAACCCAACATTCAGCTCAATCTCACAGTCCAGATTATGAAAGACCACAGCCCCTTTTTCTTCACACACACACACACAGCTCCCTTGGCTGGAATCTGTTGTTAAACAGATTTAAAACTGGTTTAAACAGTCTGCGCTACTGCAGCAGTAGTATCTGAGAAGCAAAGCGAGAAATTGAGTAAGAACTTGGTTGGGTAGCTTATGTTTTATACTAAAGAGTTCTCTGTTGCCGTAAAGATAGCCACCTTGGCATAAACTTGTTTATATTTGGTGGCTGCAAGGCAGGTAGATGCTCAGACCAACAACAAGCCCACCTTGCTCATGTCACATAATCCTGGGCAGCTAAAGCAGAAACGCTGCCCTTTGTGCCCTTGGCTAAGCATATTTTTAGGATTCGAGTGTTCGCCTTGTTTTGTCGCATCTTCTCTGCTTGTAGTTTTCATAGTTCTCAGGAGGTCATTAGGTTCTTGAGAGATTAATGAGAAAGCTCCTAGCAAAGTGTACTTGAAGACAACCAGTATGACACACATAATATCAGACTCCATTACACTTCCTTTTTCCAACAGTAAATCTTCAGAAAAATGTATCGATTTTCTTCCTTCCAAGGTTCTGCACTCTGGGTGAACTTAGTTCTGACAAAACAATAGTAGATAATTTTTCTTTACTAGCCAGCTGGCCTTTAAGTGTGCATTTTCAATGGCGTCCACTTGCAAACTCAAATCCAAATAAACAAGAAATATGATTTGCAAGCTGATTTCGGGAACCAATATTGGCTCTTAGTCAGTTCTTATGCTTATCAGCATATTCTAAATCATTGACCTTACATCGAACTACTTGGTTTTAATTGCACATTAGGGGATAAATGTTTAGTGTCGTATGGCTCATTATTTCTCTCTCTCTCCTCTTTAGCATTGACAAAAATGCAGCAAAATATTTGAACAGGATTATAGGGATTACTTTGGGAAATTATCGTATAATTAGATTCTTACTGCAGTTTGTTCATTTTTGCATGGTATGCATCTAGCTGTGGGCCTGCCAGAAGCAAAAAAACCAAAAACATGTCTTGGCCATCTGACTGTCCCTGTGGTTCCCACCACGTAGCTCATGTTAATATCGCCTCATTGTTTGTTCGAACTTTTATCTGAAATGTTTTGAAGGCTGCCCAGGGGTTCGAGTAAATAACGTTGGCCTATAGGCAAACAACTCTATGAATTATATAACATTTATTCAGCCTTTTTATTGAAACTTCATTCCACACAAATCTTCAACAGCATCAGGTCTAGATTAACTATTTTTCTAAATATGCTACAGCAGCACAAGGCTTTCATTGAGTCAACAGACCAGAAATCTCCCTGATACTAAGCTGTGTGTTGCTCATCCTGTTCCCAAGAGTCAGCTAGTTTTTAAAAATTCCATAGGCAGCTGTACCTTTTGTTACATAAAGTAGGAGCAATGAACATATTCCCAGATGTGCGCATTTAGTCAACCAACATTGGCTCAGCACGATGAGCATATTTAAGCCATTCTTTCTTTCCCACCATCCTCAGTGTGTTAAGAGCAGTGAAAACCAACTTTGTGGGCAAATACGCCACATCAAGGTCAGAGTAGGACATAATAGTTCTAAATACAATCTTCACTTCTCTTTGCCTTGGGATAGATTTGCTTCTGGTTCCTGATGAGTTGGAAAGTAGCTTTCAGGCTATACTTGGAGACGCAGACAGAAGTGTAAGCCTCTTTCCGTTTCATAGCCTGCAACATATTCCTGTTATTTGAGCTACTTGTGGCCTCTGTGGTGAGGTGGCCATCCATTGTCTTAGAGCCAGAATTCTATAGCAAAAAATTACATATGCAACAGAATATCTTTTCTTCGTAACCAGCTTGTTGCTTGAGAATCTGTAGCAAATGTGAGAATCTGAAATACAACATCAAATTAGCAGCTTGGAGGTAGTTTGGAGTCACAGAATTAGAATTTCCTCATCCTTGTTCCTTTGCCACTGACATTCTACTTCCTGGTTTTGCTAGCAGCTGATTGTCACCAGCCTATTGTAGGCCTTATCTGCTCACTATACTCTCCCCCCTGCACCTATGCAGTTCACATAGGAAGGAAAGAGCTTGCCTGTTCTTCTTGCAGGGATAGCTTCAGTATCTGGCCATCCTGTTGTGCTCTTGGGTATGTGGAAAGAGGCCAGATTTCCCCAGATTTGTTTTTTGGGAACAAGGAGAGCGTCACTTACATTTGATACGATGATTTGCAAAAGCAATGTAACAAACTATCTTTCTGTTTTGTTTTTTCTTTTTCCAGAGGTTGAAGACTTTGAAGCATTTTGTGTCAAGCCGCCCAGTTTGCAAAACAGATGGGATTTGGTTCTACCAAACCTTTCTTCTGGGAAAATGCACTGAATCAGAGGCTGTGCCTAATATGGCTGGTTTTGACCTTTACCTCTACTGGAATGGACCCCAATGCATGACTTCGTTACCATGGTGATGATCTTAACGACAACTCTGGAAAACAAAGGTGCTGATTCTCTATCATGCAGGGCTGAGTTGGTAAGAGAGTTCATTTCACACCAACAGCTTAGTTTACTCTATCAGCCGTTTATATTCTTCAGATTGCAGGGCTATCTCCTTTGGGGCAAAACAAATGGAACTCTTTCCTTATAGCTCAATGTAATTATGCCAATGGGTGCACAAGAAGAACATACCTGTTTGGTGCTGCATATGTTGAGTCTTGTGTTTTAAAGGACAATGTTGGCTTACCTGCGCATTAGCTGTGCATAAGGGATCTTTGGTCTGGGAGTTGTGCAAGAGTAGGTACTGAGGACTTACTTTAATTGAGTCACTTAGTTTATGAAATGTCACATGGGTAAGCTCTTCTGGCCTGCTTAGCATCACATTTAAATTTGACAGTATTCCCAGAGATGATCATGATATGGCTGCATTCAGACTTAACAGTTACCTGTTGAAACAACAGTTGTTGTTAATTTCATTTCTATACTATAAGAATAAGAATTTATTATTTATACCCAGCCCATCTGGCTGGGTTTCCCCAGCCACTCTGGGCGGCTTCCAACAGAACACTAAAATACAATAACCTATTAAACATTAAAAGCTTCCCTAAACAGGGCTGCCTTCAGATGTCTTCTAAAAGTTTGGTAGTTATTTTTCTCTTTGACATCTGGTGGGAGGGTGTTCCACAGGGCGGGTGCCACTACCGAGAAGGCCCTCTGCCTGGTTCCCTGTAACTTGGCTTCTTGTAGCGAGGGAACCGCCAGAAGGCCCTCGGCACTGGACCATCATGGTGTCTTCCAAAATGCTGACAGTGTTTATAATAATGCAAACAGAATTATGATGTTTCTTTCCCAAACTGTTCTGACTATAGAATTGTGGCTTTAGTGCCAATTTTGACTTTTCTTGGCATTTTGTAAACCATTTGCTTAATACAGTGGTACTTCGGGCTACATACACTTCAGGTTACAGACGCTTCAGGTTACAGACTCCGCTAACCCAGAAATAGTACCTCGGGTTAAGAACTTTGCTTCAGGATGAGAACAGAAATCGTGCTCCGGCAGCGCGGTGGCAGCAGGAGGCCCCATTAGCTAAAGTGGTGCTTCAGTTAAGAACAGTTTCAGGTTAAGAACGGACCTCCGGAATGAATTAAGTACTTAACCCGAGGTACCACTGTATTCTGGTTACTCGTTGTCCCAGAATTAGTTACTAGTGCAGATAATCTCATAAGAATTGGAGCAAAGCACACTTGGATCAAAAGAACTCCATCTTTCCATTCACAAAGGAAGGCTTTAGGAAGAGCGGAAATAGAGAAATTAAACTTTTTGCTTATCCTAAGAAAAACAATTGTGGTTACAGATAATTTAATCCTTTCTTCCTAGTTTACTATAAGACCCAACCCTTGTGAAATGGCAATTACAGTTAAAATGGGGAGAAATGTAGTTTCAAAACATTCTTCCTACTTACACTTTCCCCTCCTTGGATCTAAAACCAGTCTTCTAAATAATCATTTTATATTTGGCATGGTGGTAGTCAACTAAATCCTACTCAAAGTAGACCTATTGAAACTAAAGAACCTAACTTAGTCATGTCCATTAAATTCAAAGGGACTATTCTGGTTAGGACTAGCAAATACCACCCATACTGCCAAAATACTCTTTCCTCACACATCTAAATGTTATAAATACAATTCTACAAAGACAAAACGCACACACTGTAAACATAAGGAATAATATATGTAAGTGAATAGATATGAGGGATTCATACATTTATGTGTATAAAAAGGCTTTCTTATTTAGATGTAATCAATAATAGCTTAATTTAACTGCTACCTATTGAGCTGTTGTTTTTTTTTAAAAAGTGATCAAATGTTCAAGACAACACCATCCCAGTGACATTCTCCCTTCTTTTGTATGCCATTATAGTTTCATACTCAACTTTATAGATGAAGTAGAACTTGATAAATATAAATGTGTAAGTGTCATTTGTAGCAGGTTGTTTCAGAAAGTTGGGAGAATGGGGAAAGTTTTACTAGGAAATATTTTACTAGTAGCTTAATAGTCATGAGCAGGGGAGGCATTGAATTAAATCCAAGAGGGAAAGGAAGGTAATACTTTGTTTTGACATTTGGTAAATGGCACCATTTCCCCCGCTTTAAGGCGATATTATTTGTTATCTTTGTGATATCAACCACCGTTAGCAATCCCTAACCCCATCTCAGGCCTATTTGCATGCCTAGCAATCAATGTACTGCTTGATAATGGATGAAGTGACGGCTGCTATGCTTAACAGGCCTGGAAAGAAAGTGCCAAGAATTAATGTGGTTGTACAGAGGAGAGGAACAATGATCACAACTGAGTAGCAGTGCAGGGCAGAGACAAATGTGAGCGTCCCAAAAGATGTAAAGGAAAAGAAGCAAGAGAAGAAAGAAAGAAAGAAAGAAAGAAAGAAAGAAAGAAAGAAAGAAAGAAAGAAAGAAAAATTGGGCAGGGGAGATGAAGGCAAAACCAGCTGAGGAGGGAGTTGGGATGGCATTGCTCATGCACTAAGCTACAACTCCTCTTATTATCACATTTCAACACATGCTCCAGCATGTGTTTAAAATCATGCACTCCAGAACTCTGGTAGTTGATAGTAGAAATTATTCCTGAGTAGGATTGGACTGAGGTCAGCCCTTTGTGTAAGTGTGCACAGGGTTGCAGCCTAAGTATTAGAATGTGTAAGACTCCATACAAAGAAAAAAAGCAAAAGTTGTTGCTGAAACTTATAAACTGTAGAAATACTTGCTTGATTGCAGGGCAGGGAATCTGCTTTATTACTTATAATGGGTTGTGGGTTGCATTCAACATAGTGCCAAAGCTAAGGTTCTGCCAGCGCAAGGATTTCTCCTTGAGTAATGGAGCATTGCTTAAATCCTCTCCCTGTGTGTACTAATCTCTGGAATTTTCTCCAACTCTCCAGAGTGGGGTTTGGGGACAGTGGAGGGGGTGTGCTTGGGGGGGTGTCCCATTGCACTAGTGGTAATCCTTGTGGGCGTGCAGATATTTTGCTGAATACCACCTTAAATAATTATCTTTTTGCAAAGCAAGATTGGTCTGCTAGGGGAAAAAATAGAAAAGCAGAACAGAGATCAAGTACTTTGAATTTCGTGGACATTACTAACATGTTGTGTTATTGGATACCAAACTGCAATTTGTTTCTGCTCTTCTTCTTTTTAAAGAAGAGTCATGAGGTGATGATATTGACAAAGGAGAAGACTTTTAAAAGGAAGACTTTAAACAATATCTGAGAAATTGCTGAAATTGTTTGTCTTCTAATAATATTATTAACTTTTGCCCCATTAAGAACAAGAGAAATTCTGTGAAAGCAATCTGGAGGTGTTTCGGTAGTGGAGATCACTGTTTAGTTTACATGTTCCACCATTCTTACTTTTCTAATCCTGAAGAGTAATTTGAAAGAACAATTCAAAACTTTAGCTGAGTCTTTGATCTTGGATTAGAACATTCACAAAATAGTAACCTGACCCCATTCTTTGGTTTAGCCTTCCATTCAGTTTTGAAAAACTGTTAGAAGGAAGACTTACGAAGAAAAGCTGCAAAAGAGCAATACAGGCACAGCATCCTTTTTAAGCTTGCTGCCCTTTTGCTTAATTTGTACGTTTGACTCAGTCTACACCTTTTCATAGATCTGTGCTCTTGGCATTACTCAGTCCTTGAATGGCATTTGGACATGACCCTGTATTTCAGCATAATTCTTAAAACCTCAGTGAATAGCTTTTCTGGTTGTTTTCAGCACACTCCAAAGAAGATGAGTCAAGGACCCACTCTCTTTTCTTGTGGAATTATGGGTGAGTAAGGAGAAAGCCTCTAATTTTTTATTGCACGTTATAATGCTGGCGGGAAATGCAACAGGGCTCTCGGAGCTAGGGATGGGGGAATCTGTCATTTTCAGTAATATATGCATTTTTATGCATACTTTACCATAGGATGTGCATTTTTGTACACATTATTTGGCTGGAGAAATTTAATTCAGTTTGCTTTTAAAGGCAAGTCTAACTAATCTGCACTTTCAAAAGCAATACATGAACCGAAACACATTAATCTTTCAGAATTTTCACTTCTTCAAATTTTGCTACGTGGTTCTCCCTCATTCCTACTTGGAGCTGATTCAGTGTTTTGTTACGAGCAAAAACGGGGTTTTTTTTTGCAAGCTGAGAAATCCATTTCCTAATTTCTCATGCGCTTTTCTTTAAATTCCATATGGTTGGCAGTTGATCTGCTTTATGTTACACAATATAGCGCTCAGCTGATGAGCTCTGTGTGTGCCCTGCATGTCAAAACTCCAGGTGACCTCAGTCTCATCTCAAATATTGTAGAAGTTAGTAAATCACCCATCTTCACTCCGGTCTAAACCAGATGTACTTAATTGAGACAACGGACTAGGATTCCAGATTCCAAGCAAAGCATTCTAGTGTCTCGAAAAATCAGCTCAGTGACACATCTGGTATATTCAAACTTTACATTTAGTGATGCTTGTTAATCGAGTTCCATTTATTCACAGGTATGAACTAAAATTTGCCTGCTTGCTCCAAACCTGGGTTTTGCATTGCTGAGTATTTCAAGGCTATCTTATTTTGAATCTCATTATTTTAACAGTAATACATAAAAGTGAAGTGATACATTCATTCCTAGTCTGTGTAGTGTTTAAGAGGAAGTGTAGTGTAATGTTTAAAACTTCACAGTATAGTATTTAAAAAAGAAGCAATAATAATTGGGCAATCACTATTTAATTGGTATTCTTCTGCTGCAGTCAACAAAAGTTCATACTGTACTGGCACACAAGCTGCCCTCCGTGTGTGTGTGTGTGTGTGTGTTATACAGCCTTATGATGTTTGAGGTTTGGCTGGATGCTCTTGGAGGGCTGGCAGTTCCGAAAGATGTAGTACTGCATTGTGTTCATTAGTTTCTTATATGACTGGGCAATGACCTCCAGACCCAATTAAAACTTTAGGCCCAACTATTCTATAACAAAAGCTGGTACTTTACAAACAAAGAATCTGTTCCCACCATTCACAGGCATTACCCTCATTAGTATTAATGGGAGCTGAGCAACTGTATTGGGAGAGACATTTCTCAAGCTTCCAGACAGGGAAGTCATCTGAGATGAGAGTGAGGGGGAAATACAAAGTGTTTTTGAATTACTATGATTATTTTGCCTCAGATGGAAGGTGCAGGCTTCAAAGTAAAAAAATAAAGTGACAGAAACAGTCTATTCTATTTATGTTTTATGTGAAGAATCAAACAAGAAACAAATAATACCAAATCAATTAGCCAAACAATATATAGAAGTCTAAGAAGCTTGTTTATGACTACTTTTCTTTAAAACTTTTCCCGTTCAAGCTACACTGATATGGTCTTTATTTGCTAAAGTGTCCTGTTTCCAAGGGAACCTAATCTTACCTTGCTGACCATAGCATCCCCTGTGCAATTTTCTTTGTCAGTTCCAGTGAAAAAGAGCAAATCCCATTGGCATTATTTTTGTTTTGCTTTGTAATGTTCGTCATCTCTTCCAATGCCTTCTTCCTTGGCCCAGATTAACCAACCATTGTTGAAACTTGCCCAGATAGGTTCAGTGCTGACAACCACAATGAATTTCCAACTGCCAAGCTACTTCTGATTAGATAGTTTTGTTCCTACTTGTTCAAAGGGTCAAGACAAATGCATCGTTACAGATTTGGATTTGGATTAGAGCCGGTGGGAAGTCAAGAAATACACTGCCACATGGGACATCTAGGGACTGGAGAGAGAGACCACACTTGGCTGGCTTTCTAGTCTCCTCAGTCTGAACAGGCAGTGTCAGCAGTGAGCCAGCAGTAAATCACACTATACAAGTTAGAGTTAACTCCTTATTAGCAAGAACATGTTCTGCACAGGAGTGTCAGGCCTAATGAGCACAGCAAGTCATCTCAGGTAGGTCTTGCCCCCATGAAGCAGTTGCTGAGACTGAAGGTTTCCGCCTCCCCACAGCTGCCAAAGTTCCCTCCTATCCAGGGTATTTTCCAAGCAATCAGAGACTGTATCTGTGCATTGCCAATCTTTCCTCCGCCCTTTTCATGTCCCTTCTGGTTCTGGGAGACAATGGAGGAGGCGAGCTTGTTGCAGCAGGAGGGGAAGGCACCATGACTCTTTACCAACCTGACTCATCTCTGCCTCTTGGCCTCTCTCCTCCCACCCTCCTGCTTCAGCTTCTGGACTTCTTTCTGCCACTGTCCTTCCCAGCTCACTAAGCCTTGTGACCTCCTCAGCTTCTGGACTTCTTTCTGCCACTGTCCTTCCCAGCTCACTAAGCCTTGTGACCTTCTCAGCTTCCAACACCTCCTCTTCTGAGTCTTCTCCCTCTGATCACTCATCATTGTCCCACCACCACTCCCCAGGTTTTGAGCCTTTCTTCTCTTGGGGGTTCCCCAGCTGGTTCCTCCCACCATTCATCTGTGCCCAACCAGTCTAATATAGGCAGGATGTTGTGAGAACTAATTGTCTATTTGGATTTCAGCAGGGAGGGGGGAGATACAGATAAAGCTAGCATATCCATAGATATGGATGACCTTGAGAAGCTGTTGTGAAAGTCTAGAATTGGAATGATAACAAGATAAGTTCTGTGACAGGCCATCTTTGCCCAGAGCATGGACCGAGGCAAATGGGAAAGAGTGACTTATATCTACTGCTTTATAAGTCATGGGAAAACTTTTCTTTTGGCCCTGCCAGTTAGGTCAACTTGCTTTAAAGAGAAGACTAGGCAAACCAGACACTTTTGTAGAACCTCTTTAGCACTATTCAGCACAAAGCCTGAGGAGGAATTTTGAGTGTGGTCGGCCAAACATGCTTAGAATTCTTCTTTAGACATATAAGATGAATACACGAAAATCTGGAGTGGAACTGTATGGATATTGGGTGTGGGTTTGTATATGGGCCCCCTCTCCATTTTAAGCCCACATGCATTCGCCCCACATATAAATAGGACTTTGATCTCAAGTGTGATGATGCCATATCTTCCAATATTTCTATTATGTTCTCATGTTCCCTATTAATTTTTTTTTATAAATCTATGATTTATCACACATTTGAGTTTGATTGAAATATTTGAGATTTTTTTTGCCATTTTTTGAATAAAAAAATTAATATGCTTTGGGCTTTCCTCTTTCTGCAGCTATTTTAGTTGCTTTTAGGCTTTATAACCCTAACCAAGTTATTGGCGTTCATTTAATATTGTGTTTCTATTAGAGTACTATCATTAGCTTTCTTAGGCTTTCAGTTTGTCTGAAAAGGGGCTGTTTCCCCTTTCAGGCTTTGTTTTATTTCAACCCTTCTGTCACTTTCACACTAGCATTGCTTGATGACAATTACTGAAGCATGTCCCTTAAAAAAGTGGTGGAAACAACTTTTTATCAGCTTTATTTGGAGAAAATGTGTGTGTATATTTCCTAGTAGCATTCATTGGCAATCTCTCTCTCTCTCTCTCTCTCTCTCTCTCTCTCTCACACACACACACACACACACACTTATTTATCATAACACAGTTATATTTGAAGAAAAAGTATCTGTATACATATTGCTCATTCACATTAATTTGCTGTCTCTCCATCATCACAACACTGGTTTTGCTAAGGGAAACAATTGTAGGGGGAAACAATAAAAAACTAATTTCTGTTTAATCATATGCATTTTTACTCTGTTGTATGTGCTGCTAAGCTCAATGGAGCTTGCTCTCAAGTAAACAGGCAGAGGGTTTCAGCCTTTCCTGGTGAATAGTTAATGTAGATATCTGAAAAGGCCTCAGATACCACTTGATACACTATTAAAAAACATCAATCTTCATCAAATATTTGTCAAGTCACAGTGCCCTACATCATTTCCCCCCCTTTTCTTAAAGGGCAAGAATCCTCTGAGTTTTAAAAATGTTGAAATTGGTATAATTACCACCAAGAGAAGAGTGTCCCTGATTTTTGTTTTGCAGGAAAAAGCATAGAAGATGAAAAACGTATTGCTATAAATTCAGCCTTGAGCAAGAACAATTTTGTATGCCTTGCTTGAGTAGCCCTTGAATCATGTGCAAATAAATCATTGCTGTTATGGAACAGAATATTTCTTTTATCCTTCCAGACAGCAAATATTATATTTCTCCAGTCAAAAGGGATACAAATGTAGTGGGTGGGAGGGTCACAAAGAGAAGCTGGTTCAACATAATGTTTAGGTAGTGAAACTATGGGTTTTTTGCTTTTAAAAAATATGTTCTGTAGCCAAAGGAAGAATTGAAGCAAATATTTAATGCAATGCTGCACCCTAATTCCTCTCTTAGAAATTAAAAGGAAAATATTGGCTGCCGTTCTCAAGCTGCCTTTCCCAGAGTCGGTCCATTCATGTCAGTAGTGGAATTTGGCTAGCTTTAGGATTTTGTATTGCGAATGTTCAGTATTAATAGTGGTAAAAAAAGACCTTCCTGCACGAATTTATTCTGTTGTTTTACTAAAGGAGCATTGGTAACTTGGAGGCAACCTGATGCTCAGAGTTATGATGCACAATTCTTAAGGAAGAGTCCCTATAAAGGCAGCATCTATTTCTGAGGTTTAACAGCTAGGAGGGAGAGTTTGCAGAACCCCTGTGGGGTTTAATGTTTTGGAGCTTTTGGCTCCCATCGTATCCGTACACTAGGGGTTGAAGCACTGAACACATTCTGCAGTATATATCCAGACACTGGCGTATGCTCTGAATATACATAAAGCAGATGAAGAGCTTTTACAAACAGCATTGAGGGTGTTGACTAGTTTCTTAAAGTAGCTGGCATGGCAGG